ATCTCTGCTACTATTCTGTCACCTGTGATATATCTGCTACCATTCTGTCACCTATGATATCTCTGCTTCCATTTTGTCAACTGTGATATCTCTGCCACCATTTTGTCACCTATGATATCTCTGCTACCATTCTGTCAACTGTGATATCTCTGCTACTATTCTGTCACCTATGATATATCTGCTACCATTCTGTCACCTCTGATATATCTGCTACCATTCTGTCAGCTATGATATTTCTGCTGCCATTCTATCATCAATAATATTTGTGATACAATTCTGTCACCTATGATATCTCTGCTACCATTCTGTCACCTATGATATCTCTGCTATCATTCTGTCACCTATGATATCACCATCGAATATTCTTCGATGTGTAAAATTCTTTCTCTTGCTTAAGTTATTCCCCACTTTACTTGTGCTCAATATACAGAAGTAAACTCCTGACAGGTGCATGAGAGAAAGAAAACAACAGGACTGTAGGGCACAGCAGACAGCATAAATATGAAAAGCTAAGGTGACTAATCAGGGAACTTTTTTTTTCTTCTTCTTCCTGTTCACCGTGTCCAGCTGTCGAAAAAGAGGATCGGAGCATTGCTTCTTCTGAATCTGCCGGTAACATGGGGGTGGGGGTGGCTTTATAATTGTCTAGGGGTGCAAGATTCAGTGGCGCAAGCTTTGTTTGAATGCGCAGCAAATATATATTTGAAATGATATGAAATATATAAACAAATGCTTAAAAAAGGACGTCTATACATGGTTGGAGTAGCGGGACTCTGCTGTCTCAGAACTATTGGGGGATCTCAGCTCCCTCCCCCCCCCCACTCTCTCTCTCTCTCTCTCTCTCTCTCTCTCTCTCTCTCTCTCTCTCTCTCTCTTTCTCACATTTGTGTGTAGGTAGGGGAGTTGGGCTCAAGGTGGCTGAACAGTCAGTTTTCACCGCCTGTTACCCAACAAAGTAAACACACCCTAATATAACCATTGTATACTGTTGAAAAGATAGTTAGGATTTGCTTCTACTGGAATCAAATCTGAGAAAAAAATAGCTCTTTGAGTCTTTAAGTATTTCAAAAAGCCACATCAAACAAAATTGATATTCAACATATAAAGTGGACTAAAATATCTTGAACCGAAAGTGTAGGTGTTGAAGCAGAAGTCAACTGGCCGGAAACGCAAATTGAGCCAATGAGAAAAGGACTGGTAACAGCAACAGAGTCTGCTTGCGACTTGTCTGTCTCTTGTGTTGATCCCCCCATCTCCGTCCTGACGGGCATGTCGCTGTTTTAGCCGCTTCTACATTGCTACCACAAGAATATCGGTGCGTCGTATCCGTATCATTTAATTACTGTATTGTTGTAGAAATGTGTCTCTTCTACAGGTTGTTTTGTCGTCGTCACCCAGACGTAGCCGTAACGACTTAGTCACTAAGTTAGTGAGTAGGGTAGGGTGACAAACTTAGGTTGTTGACGGTAACGATCGTTCATTACAACATTATTTGTAGCGTTATTGTTTATATATATTTGCAGTAACATTGTGAAATAATACAACACAGTTTTTATAATATTCTGTTTACCACAGAACTAAACTCGACTGTGCCCATATCAAGCAGAAACACTATGTAGTGACTGCTGGATGATCCAGATAACTGGTACTACTGGCACTGCACTTAAACTCACTTCTTGTCATCGCCCGGTCCTTCTCACCAGACGCACGCCCAGGTTGTTTGGTCATAGTAGTGCCTGTTGTGAGCTAGTTAGATACACATCAGAACTAGTAATGTCTGTTGTCATCACAACCATTTATTTATATGTTTCTGCTTAATGCATAGGCTCACATTGGTTAAATCTGCCAAAGTACAGTATGTGTAATGTGTAGAAACATCTCATTTATGTCATATATGCAGATAAGATTATTAGGATACGATGATTACACACAAGATGGTTACGGGCACTGATGTTTGATACACAAGTTTTAGTCATGTCATTGCCAGCAGTCAACTCACTATCCAGGAGGGTCAAACATGAGTCAGGTAGATATCCATCAGGTGCCATTCCTGCATTAAAGGTTGGCTGCAGTTGATGATTTCCAGCCTCTGACTCTTGCCCTAGTTTAAAACTCTCTCTGAATGCTTTTTATTAAACTCTTTTGTCATCCTTCGACATGCATGAATGTCTGCTTCTTGCATGCAACCTTTCCAATGACTTGAGTCAATAGCAGACACTCTGAAAAAGTTACCTATTTCTAGCCAGGGTTTGCTGATGCAAAATTCCCCATTTCTGGACTGTAAATCCATGTTCCATTGCCAGGCTGCTGAGTTGAGTGCTTTATGCAACACTGAGAGCTGTGGAATGTTATTTTTCTATTGCATCTGATGGCTTTAAGTTGTGGATTGGGCTTAAAACAGTGAATGGCCAGAATAGTATCTACTTATGCAGTATTGATTGTATCTTGCTGGCTTTCATAATTGACATCTTGCATCAACAGTGAGCTGTGATACTGGTGTGGGATCTTTAGCATTGGCACATCTTATAGCTGCCACAGGAATAGAGCAATTGTGGGGCAACCCATCTGGGTGAAGTTGGACCCTCGACTAACGACCTAATATTATTATTTTTCTCATGTCGCCAAAAATAGAGTAGATATAGAAAGTATAATACTAGATATAATTATACTCATTATTGGGAGGGGGGTAGCGTTAGCGCAGTCGATTGAAGACTCGCTTTTAAATTCGGCTGTTTGAAACCGGAGATTCACCCAGCCTCTTGGTTATGGGTACCAGAGTTAACAATCTGGGGTAAATGGAGGAACGTCGCTGTAGCTACAGAGTTGCATGCGGACGGGGACACAGGTGGACAGTTTCTTATCAGCTGTCCGTACTGGTGGCAGAGCACTTATGGTTTATAACCGTGTGCAGTGATGCTGGATCACATCTCCCGACTTTACCTTTTATACTCATTATTCTGCAGCATAAGACAATCATGGGATCAGGCAATAAGAACTGTCCTATATGACAGATGTGACCACGAGGGTGTGGAAATCTGCCAGCATGCAGGCTCTGACTTTAAAGATGATCAGTTTAATGATTACAGCTCTTCTTGGAAACCGTCAGTCCTGTGATAACCACCGAGGTATCTCACAGCTTTCAGTTGCCGGAAAGATTCTGGCCAGGATTCTCCTGTGTCGTCTCACAGCCCATCTCCACAAAGGTCCCCTTCCTGAAAGTCTGTGTGGTTTTAGACAAGATCGTGCAACTGTTGATATGATTTCTGCTGCTAGACAGCTGCAAGAGAAATGCCAAGAACAGAATTCGAACATGTTTTCCACCTTTATTGATCTTACAGAAGCATTTGACACATTAAATTGGGAGGGGCTGTGGAGGATTATGGAGAAATTTGGTTGCCCACACAAGTTCATCTAGATAGTGCGTCAGTTTCATGATGGCATGCAAGCAAGAGTGCAGGATAACGGCCAACTGTCAGAGTCCTTTCTTGTCGTAAACGGAGTCAAACGGGGTTGCATGCTTGCACCATCACTGTTCAGTCTACTTTCAGCCATGTTGACTGATGCCTTTGTAAATGATCACACTGGAATCAACATAAATTACCGCATGGATGGAAAGCTGTTCAACCTCAGGAGGCTGAAAGCAAAAAGAAAAACTAAATCATACACCATCAGGGAGCTCCTGTTTGCTGACGACTGTGCCCTTTATGCCAACACAGAAGCGGAAATGCAGCACAACATCGACATATTCAGTGATGCCTGTACATACTTTAGGCTCACCATTAGCAAAGATAAAACTGTAGCCAGGCACCAGCCAGCCCCAGGGCAAAGATACATCGAGCCCAATATCACAGTGAATGGCTACAGATTAAACGATGTCAGTAATTTACTTATCTAGGCAGCACCCTTTCACAGAGCGCCACAGTTGATGACGAAGTAAATGCAAGGATCTCTAGGGCTAGCGTTGCCTTTGGTTGATTGTATAAAAATGTTTGGAACAGAAGTGGCATAACCCTGCACACAAAGCTTAAAGCATACAGAGCAGTTGCATTAACTACACTGCTGTACGCATGCGAAACATAGACTGTATACCAGCACCAGGCTAGGAAGTTAAACCACTTTCACACAGTATGCCTTGGAAAACTAATGCAGATCAGATGGCAAGACAAAGTACCTGATACTGTAGTCCTTGAGAAAGCAGCCATGCCCAGCATCCACACTCTACTGATGCAGTATCAAATTTGTTGGGCTGGTCATGTGGCACGCATGCCAGATCACAGGCTCCCAAAAAAACTCTTCTATGGTGAGCTGCAAAATGAGAAACGTTCCCAAGGCGGGCAAAAGAAACGCTTTAAGGACACCTTGAAATCTTTACTCAAAGCATTTGGGATGAATGACACCAATTGGAAGGCTGCCTCTCAAGACCAAAATGCATGGTGTGCAGCTTTACACAAGGGCGCGGCTACATGTGAAGCAAACAGAACAGCAAGACTGATTAAGAAAAGGATTGACAGAAAGGTGACTGCAGGAGAACCCCTTCCTGGCACAACGCTTATTCCCTGTCCTCACTGTTCAAGAACTTTTTGGGCCCGCATCGGCCTCATCAGTCATCTTCGTACTCATACTTGATGAAAAAGAGTGGTCATCATCATCTTGATGGACAACACACACACACACACACTGCTCTTGTGATTCTGTAGCTTCTGTCTGTTTTGTATTGCTGTTACTTTTCCCTTGAAGTTAATCAATCAGGTCCAGAAAGAGATCATGCAATATGGACAACACACAGTCACTGTAGTAGTGCCCAGGCTTTATGCAGACAGGTCAAGAGCTACATGTGACAGCAACAGAGGCACTGAAATCTCATGCATTTATTGTGTGTTGTTTCAAGAATGTTTATTTTCTGACTTCAGAGACAAACAGCACCATCATGACAGTGAGGAGAAGAGCACTGTTTGTGTATCTGATGCTGATAGTGACGTGTGTCCAGGTGACGACAGCAGATGTCGCCGGGCCAGGTTTGTTTCTCCTCTTTGTGTTTGCTTGTTACACTCTTCATCTCTTGCTTGTGGAAAGGAGTGGGTGTGGTGTAGTCACAGCGAAACTGGTTACATTCTTTATCTCTTGCTTGTGTAAGGGAGTGGGTGTGGTGTAGTTACAGCTAAACTGTGGTCACATTCTTTATCTCTTGCATGCGTAAGGGAGTGGGTGTGGTGTAGTCACAGCGAAACTGTGGTCACATTATTCATCTCTTGCTCGTGGAAAGGAGTGGGTGTGGTGTAGTCACAGTAAAACTGTGGTTACATTCTTCATCTCTTGCTTGTGTAAGGGAGGGGGTGTGGTATAGTCACAGTGAAACTGTGGTCACATTCTTTCTCTTGCTTGTGTATGGGAGTGGGTGTGGTGTAGTCACAGCTAAACTGTGGTTACATTCTTCATCTCTTGCTTGTGTAAGGGAGTGGGTGTGGTATAGTCACAGCTAAACTGTGGTCACATTCTTTATCTCTTGCTTGTGTATGGGAGTGGGTGTGGTGTAGTCACAGTGAAACTGTGATCACATTCTTTATCTCTTGCTTGTGTATGGGAGGAGGTGTGGTGTAGTCACAGTGAAACTGTGGTCACATTCTTTATCTCTTGCTTGTGTATGGGAGTGGGTGTGGTGTAGTCACAGTGAAACTGTGATCACATTCTTTTTCTCTTGCTTGTGTATGGGAGTGGGTGTGGTGTAGTCACAGCTAAACTGTGATCACATTCTTTATCTCTTGCTTGTGTATGGGAGTGGGTGTGGTGTAGTCACAGCTAAACTGTGGTCCCATTCTTCATGTCTTGCTTGTGTATGGGAGGGGGTGCAGTGGAGACAGGAAAACTGGATTTACAGTTAAATTACAGTTGTTAACAATGAAATCTAAGTGTCAATGTTCCAATTGTTAACAATGAAAACTAAGTTTGAGAGTTCCAATTGTTAACAATGAAAACTAAGTGTCAGTGTTCCAATTGTTAACAATGAAAACTAAGTGTCAGTGTTCCAATTGTTAACAATGAAAACTAAGTGTCAGTGTTCCAATTATGCCTCTTCACATGCTGGTTGTGTGTGTGTTTTAATTCTCTGGGTGTGAACAGCTGACTCCCTGGCAGTGTGCTCGCTGGAACGCTAAAGAGGTAAACTCAGTCTCACTCCCCGAAAAGGGTAAAGGGGCTAGTGCTTATCTTAGTGAAGTTGGTGGGTGACTGTTCCCTGGAGACCCAGTCTACTTTCTTGGACACTGTGTGGCAGAGGCTGCCATTCCCCTCTCCAGGCACACACCACTGACTGTCTTAGACTAGTACTGGCACTTCATGTCTGGGGTAGATTAAGGTACACACACACACACACACGCACTGGCATGTGTGCACACACACACACACGCACGCACTGGCATGTGTGCACACACACGCACTGGCATGTGTGCACACACACACACACGCACTGGCATGTGTGCACACACGCACTCACACTGGCATGTGTGCGCACATACACACACACACACTGGCATGTGTGCACACACACGCACTGGCATGTGTGCACACACACACATCATGATGCAGTCTGACAACAACTTTGCAGACTGACAATAATGAACACAAACACACTTTACAGACTGAATAAAACACACCCTCATGATGATGTGAGCACACACACACTCCACACACACACTCCACACACACACACTCCACACACACACACACTGGAGACAGGAAAATATGCACACAATGATACGCACATACACACACACACTGATGATGATGCATACATACACACACACACACTTTTTGCAACTTTGTTTAAAAAAAATCACACACACATTTATGATCACACACGCACACTGATGATGATGTGTACACACACACACTTTTTTGCAACTTTGTAAAAGAAAATTCACACACACAATGATGATCTCACACACACACACACACACACACAAGCACACACACACAAGCACACTGATGATGATGTATACACATACACCCACTTTGGAACTTTGTAACACATACACACACACATAAACTTTATAGCATGGAGAAAGCACACACAAAGTGTTGTTAACTGTGAGTACATTACCATTACAGCAGCAGCAACATCTGATGCTCCAGCCAAAGGGAACTCTGTTAAGAAAGACTCTCAGGACAGTTTAACTAGTGGTGGAAGCCGCCAGCAGCCTGAGCAACAGTTTACACAACCACAGCTGCAACAAGAACATCCTCATCATCAACAAGAACATCCTCATCATCATGAACAGCAGCAACAAGAACATCCTCATCATCATGTGAAACAGCAGAGTCATGTTGAGTTTCAAGATCAAGTCTACGAGGAAGCAGCAGATCATGGACAACATTTCCACATTGATGACAAGAACAGACAGGGGCAGCAGCAGCAGCAGTCCCAGCAACAGCAGTCTCAGCAGCAGCAATCCCAGCAACAGCAGTCCCAGCAACAGCAGTCCCAGCAACAGCAGTTCCAGCAGGAGAACAGACACAATGCTTTGCATCAGCAGCCACAATCACAACTACCACTGGGACAGACAGACCAGGATAAGGCAAGAGCAAACGAGGAGGAGGAGGTGTTGGTATCCCACACAGAGAATGAGCTCCACCAGCCCACCCTGGGGTCAGATCATTCTGACAACTCAGATTCTGGGGATGCTTCTGATGATAAATTAAGTAGTGATGATGATGGCAGACTGGAGGCACCACATGCAGACCAGTTGCCGTTGGGTACGGCATCACTGCCTGACCAGCACCAGCAGGCCCAGGGTCAGCAGATTCAGGCTCAGGCCCAGTTTCAGCAGCCTGAAGATCCACTTTCACAGCAGCGAGCTGACAATCCATCACCCCACCAGCAGCTGCAGCAGCCTCCCCCTGGGGTTATCGTGGACGATCCACATGTGGGTGATGCTGACGACAAAGGTCAAGATGAAAGTTTATCTGATGCTGCCAAAAGTGGAAGCTCATTTGAATACAGGCCAGAAGAAGCTGAATACATTCCCACAGAAGCTGAGATTGAAGGTAAATACTCACACGTACACATCAGCATACACCCACGTACACATCAGCATACACCCACGTACACATCAGCATACACCCACGTACACATCAGCATACACCCACACCACAAACATATCTGTTTGCCCACACATGTATATGTTATCTTATTAGATAATCTTGTAAGGCTGTGAAGTTGTTGGGATTTCACATATACTAGAAAAGTGTAGAATGAGTTGTGCATGACTGATTCTCTGCAAAGCAGCCATTCCTTGTATGGAATGAGCCATTATGTTTGAGTGGACTGTAGAGACACACCTGCTTGACCACACTGGGTGTACTGTGGAGACACACCTGCTTGACCAGACTGGGTGGACTGTGGAGACACACTTGCTTGACCAGACTGAGTGTACTGTGGAGACACACCTGCTTGACCAGACTTGGTGGACTGTGCAAACACACCTGCTTGACCAGACTTGGTGGACTGTGCAAACACACCTGCTTGACCAGACATGTGGACTGTTGAGACACACCTGCTTGACCAGACTGGGTGCACTGTGGAGACATACCTGCTTGACCAGACTGGGGGGACTGTGGAGACACACCTGCTCGACAAGACTGGGTGGACTGTGCAAACACACCTGCTTGACCAGACTGAGGGGACTGTGGAGACACACCTGCTTGACTTGACTGGGTGGACTGTGCAGACACACCTGCTTGACCAGACTGGGTAGACTGTGCAGACACACCTGCTTGACCAGACTGGGTGGACTGTGGAGACACACCTGCTTGACCAGACTTGGTGGACTGTGCAGACACACCTGCTTGACCAGACTGGGTGGACTGTGGAGACACACCTGCTTGACCAGACTTGGTGGACTGTGCAGACACACCTGCTTGACCAGACTGGGTGGACTGTGCAGACACACCTGCTTGACCAGACTGGGTGGACTGTGCAGACACACCTGCTTGACCAGACTGGGTGGACTGTGCAGACACACCTGCTTGACCAGACTTGGTGGACTGCAGACACACCTACTTGGGTGGACTGTGGAGAACACTGTCCTGCCAGCACTAGAGATTAAATCCAGACCACTGGTCAGCATTAAGACGTACATTTACAGGCAGTGATTGTCCCTCTTAGACATGGTGACTTGTTGGTCTCATGTCACTTGTTTCTGTAGTGATTGTCCCTCTTAGTCATGGTATTTGTTGGTCTCATGTCACTTGTTTCTGTAGTGATTGTCCCTCTTGGTCATGGTATTTGTTGGTCTCCTGTCACTTGTTTTTGTAGTTATTGTCCCTCTTAGTCATGGTATTTGTTGGTCTCATGTCACTTGTTTTTGTAGTGATTGTCCCTCTTAGTCATGGTATTTGTTGGTCTCATGTCACTTGTTTTTGTAGTTATAGTCCCTCTTAGTCATGGTATTTGTTGGTCTCATGTCACTTGTTTTTGTAGTGATTGTCCCTCTTAGTCATGGTATTTGTTGGTCTCATGTCACTTCTTTTTGTAGTGATTGTCCCTCTTAGTCATGGTATTTGTTGGTCTCCTGTCACTTGTTTTTGTAGTTATTGTCCCTCTTAGTTATGGTATTTGTTGGTCTCATGTCACTTGTTTTTGTAGTGATTGTCCCTCTTAGTCATGGTATTTGTTAGTCTCAAGTAGATGTAAACTGGGGCTTTGGGCTCACCTGACTCACCTCAAACATTGATCTAGCTCGCCGTTGCCCACTGCGAGCCTCCAGCTACCCACTGGCTCAGCTCAACATTAAGCTAGCTCGCAGTGGGCAACGTAGTGAGCTACAAACACGCAAACATAGTGGGGGCCCCACCCCCCAGGGGCCCCGCCTGAACCCGTCGGTCAATTGAACAGGTGTGTGGTGTGCTGTATACACCTAAGATGGGAAGAGAGTACAACGAGTGTCAGTGGTTTATATTAGGCTCGACGTGTCGATGTAGTCGCAACTGTGTGGGGGACTATTGTAAAATACACAATGCCCTTCGGAAAAAGGGCGGTGGCACCCGCGGCTGCCTTGTGTGTGGGGTCGGAATAAAAAACAAATACGACATATGCAAACATTGTGGATATGACATGGCCTATAAGAGAAATTGGATGCGCAATTTCAGAAGCTATCAGGCCGAGTGCAGACGATTGGGGGGCATCGAGGG